GGTGGTGCCAGGGTTTGAACTTAGGGCTTTGCACTTGCTAGGCAAGCACTTTGCCACTTGAGCCATGCCCCAGCCCTTTCTGCTTTTAGGTTTTTGTTATTATTTTTTTTAGCTAGGCTCTCGTGGTTTTGCCCAAGGTTGGCCTGGACCATGGTCCTCCTCACCTGAGCTGGGATTGTAGGTGGGAACCACCACACCCAGTGCTTTGATCAAGTTCTTGGTTCCAAAGATAAAGAAAAAGATCTTACAAGCTTCTAGGCACCAGAAGCCAAGTTCCTTATAGAGGAAAAAGCACCAGACTTCCTGGCAGCCTCATAGTTGCTCAGAGGAAGAAAAGGCTTTTGGCTCCAGAAGTCTATATCCAGACCACTTATCACCAACCCTTCAGGCAGAGGGAGGATGATTATCCACCTTGCAGGAATTCAGACTCCTTGAGTTCGAATCCCAGCTCTGTCACTAACTGACTGTGTGGCTTTAGGCGAGTTGCTTAGAGATTTCATCATCTGTGAAATGGGACTACTCGTGGTACCTCCTTCCCAGGGTGTTGTGAGGGTCTCATGAGTTAACGTTTGAATGCGCCTAATGCACTTATAGCACAGCTGGTGTACAGTTAAACCCAGCGATCACACACAGCATGGGCTGGCCTCATTATCTCTAAAACAGTAGCAATATTAAAATCAGGAAGGTGAAAGTTAATATTGAGAGCACTCAGCGGGATAAAGAAGGTTATTGTAGGATGGTAACACTTTTAACATATTTCTGTAAGTGCCAGATAGAATGGCAGCTAAATGGAGAACTCGATGAGAATATTTTGCAGTGGAGAATTCATAGTCCCTCTTTCACAGCCTGCGAGAACTAGCAGACTAAAAGAAATAAGATCTGTAGAAAAGGCATGATGGAGCCAGCAAACTCACTATAATACACAATGTTGAACCACTCATGTGTCAAATAGAAATTATTTTTGCATGTTTGTAGAGCATTAAAAAAAAATCAGTCATGTGCCCCAAAGCAAACCTTAACATATTCAATCACAGTATCCTATGTGAGATATTAACTATCTTATAGATCATATTTACTATGAGAATTAAATAATGAAAGGACTGCAAAAACTTAACCGCTTGAAAATGAAGACATGCAGTTTTTGTTTCTTGGGTCAGGGTCTTGCTATGTAATTCAGGCTGGCCTTGCACGTGCTGTCACTTCTGTCTCAGCCTCCCAAGTGTTGGGATTACATGCTTGTACTACCAAGCCTGGCAATTTTATTTAATTCTGAATAATCCCTGGATATCCTTAGTTCAAAGAAGAATTCAAAATTAAAATTAAAACGATAAAACAGAAAACAACAGGGGCCAGGTATGGTGGTGCACGGTGCTCGATCCCAGCACTGGGGAGGCTGAGGTAGGAGAATCATAAGTTAGAGGCCAGCCTGGGCTACATGGGGAGATCCTGCCTCAAAAACAAACAAAAAACACTTCACATTCCACCTATGGACAGAGCAGGTACTGTACTTAAAATTCCCTCATCATTGAGGAAAAAGTAATAAAAATAAACATTCAGTTTTTATTGATAAATCCAAGGACTTAGTCCAGAGCTCTCTCTTAGGTCTTTCTCTAAGTTTGCTTGTTCTCTAAGTTGATTGTTAAAAAGGAGCTTCTTACGAAAAAAATGAGTCAAACATTTAAAAGAAATTTTTTTTGGCAGCACTGGGGTTTTAAATTGCTTGCTAGGCAGGTGTTCTGCCACTTGAGCCATGCCCCAGTAATTTTTGCTTCAGTTATTTTTCAGGGAGGGTCTCATGTTTTTGCCCAAACTGGTCTTGGACTGTGATCCTCCTACCTATTCCTCTCATGTAGCTGGAATTACTGGCATGAACCATAACACCAGGCTTGTTTGTTGAGATGAGGCCTCACTAATCTTTTGCCTAAGCTGGCCTCCAACTGCAATCTTCCTAATCGCCACCTCCTGAGTAGCTAAGATTATAGTGTGAGCGACCTTGCCCATCCTGAGTTAAACATTCTTATTTTCCCCCAAAGTATAAAATGCTTCTGTAGTCGCCTGTAAATTTGTGAGTGATCCCGTGTGGACTTTGTGTTGCCCAGGTACTCCAGGAGCAGATCCGTGCCAGGGACAGCATTAGCTACGGAACTAACTCTGCCTTAAAGACCCTGGAGATGCGTCAGCTCTCTGGTTTGGGAGATCTTCGAGGAAGAGTGGCAAGGTACATGTTCAATTGTGGGAATTGTGCTCATCAAGAATTGCTATTGAGGCTGGGCCTGGTGGTACACACCTGTAATCCCAGCACTGGGGAGGTGGAGACCGGGAGCTTCTAAGTTCATGGCCAGCCCGAGTTTATAGTGAGACCCTGTCTCGAAAAACCAGGGGACTGGGGGTGTGACTCAAGTAGAAGGGCTTCTGCCTAGCAAGCAGGACACCCTGAATTCAAACTCCAGCACCACTACCAAAACAAACAGAAAAACCCAAAGAGGGTGAAAAAAAAAAAAAGAGAGAAAAAAACCTCTTTTCCATAGACTCCATTTTAGTAGGGAATATATTCACGAACTCCCAAATTCTTTGCCTTCTTTTTCTCCATCCCTTCCCTACTTTGCCCATAAAATCTAATGGTAGAAGTCCAACTGGGCTGCAGAGGGCTCCCTCTGCTGACTGTGTCATTTGGTAATGTGACGTTACATTTATTGAATCAAATAACACACTGCTGGGTATAAAGACATAATAGTCTTTATTATGTCTTGAAATTTTTCCTTTTCTTAGAATTGATTTTTATCTTAGTTTCTGAAAGTACTGCTTTTTTTGATAGGCTGGATTTTTTGGGGGGGTTCAGGGGGACTGGGGTTTGAACTCAGGACTTCACATTTACAAAGCAGGTGCTTTACCACTTGGGCCACACCTCCAGTCCATGTTGCTCTGGTTATTTTGGAGATGGGGTCTTGAGAACTATTTGCTGGGGCTGGGCTCAAACGGCAGTCCTCCTCATCTCAGTCTCCCTAGGAGCTGGGATTACAGGTGTGAGCCACCAGCGTCAGCTTAGGCTGGACACTTTAAGAGGAACCCTTCCCTTCGGAGCATGAGAGGTGCTGTTCTCTCCTGGAAGTGACACCATGACCAGCAGCAGCTCGTTAGCCATGCATGATCTGAGGACCACCCATGATCACTGACCTGGAGTGTGCATTTTGCGAGATCCCTGCACTTGGGTGCATGTCAGCATTTGAGAAGTACTGTAAGGACTGTGCTGGGATTGTGCTATTTACAGAGGTTCTTACAATGTATCAAATATATCATACTTGAATTCACCCCCTCCACCACTCTCCTGTATCCTCCTGCCCCCCATTCCTGGAATAGTTTCAACAGGCATCCTTTTTTCCTGTTTACATTCACCTTTTCCCTACCTCCTCCCTCTCCCACATGTACCAAGCCCCACCTCCCCCAGGCAGGACCTGTTCCACCCTCCTGTTCTCTGATTTTGCAAAAGAGACAAAAAGGAAATCACATTTGTGCTTGTTTAAGATAGCTACACAGGGAGTTTCTTTGTAACACTTCCATGTACATGTGTTATAGCCCAATCTGGTTCATCCCTCTATTTTTCTCCTTTCTACCTTAGTCCCCTTCTTATGATGGTTTCAACAGGTTTAAAAATTCCATATATCCTTCTGGTATAGAAAGTCCATCAACCATATTCTCCTTCTTAATGTCCTTCTTTTACCCCACCCCAGATTGTTTTTATACCCCAACTTTCCATGGACCTCTTCTGCCCTCTGCTGCCAGCAAGAGCCAAGCACATGAATACGCAGTTACACATGATAACGTGTAACTTGGGGTAACTTGGGGGTGACAACGAAGGTGGAAGAAAGAAGAGAGACTCTCAGGGTCCAGGGACCTTTGGAGCAGCGAGTGCACGTAGGCTGTGTTTTCAGGTTTTGAGACAGGGTCTTGCTGTGTAGCCCAGGCTGGCCTTGAGCTTGAGTTTCTCCTCTCTCAGCCCCTGCCGCAAGTGCTTGAACTACAGACATGTACCACCACGCTGTTTCCTGTTCTCATCAGGATGAGCTCCAATCTCTTTGGTGTGACACTTGGTGATGGACACACTGCTGACACCCTCACCTCTATCTACTTTTGCCCTGTACTTTTCAGCCATGACCAGTATTTGTTAGTCTCTGAATAGCTCTGTTCTTCTATCACTGTGCCTTTGCACACACTGTGCTTGTACCTAGCTAGCCTGCCTTTCCTTCCTTTCTAACATCTTGTCAGTTTTTAAATTCAGTTCAATGTCCTGTGCTCTGGAAGTCTTTCTGGCACCCCACTCTGCAGGGCTGCCCTGGCACTTCTGCTTCATCAAGCCCCTCTGTCATCCCCCAGTCTGTTGTGCTATCTTTCGGGTAGGTTCTGTATCTTTCACTTCTGTAGCCATGTGCCTGGAACAGTCTATGGAACACAGTAGGTGTTTAACAGGTGTTTGCTTGGATGAATGAGTGGTCTAGAAAATCACTGTAATAGGACTGAAAAACCCTGAGCCCTTGTTTATGGAGTTTGGCTTAAAAGAAGTCCCAGATCTGTGACACCTCCCAGAGCAGTGGGGAGTGTGACAGAGGAGAGTGGCGGCTTCAGGAGAACTCTGTGAATCTTTTTTGGTGGTACTTGGGTTTGAACTCAGGACTTTGCACTTCCAAGGCAGGCACTCTACCGCTTGTGCCATGCCCCCAGCCCTCTTTGAGGGTCTTTGTGACTGCTATGGTTGCAGATGAACTGAGATAACACACATAAGAGGCCTCGTGTGTGATGTAGACGGAGTGATCGAGAATAAGTGGCAGATGGAGTCATTCAGGGGTAGCAACAAAAATCGCCATTGTCCTTATGAAACTGGATCTAGCGCCAGGTAGATAAATGATATTGAAATACTTTTGGGATTCGTACACTCGCCTTCAGTTTCTCCTCACACTTCCCCGAGGCTGACATTCTTCTTTTCTTGTCAGGTTGTTCCTTCCCTGTGACAAATACTTTTAGTCTTAAACCATGACACTGTTTGTTAAGGGCGCTAGAGACTTTGGCGTTGTTTTATGGCTATATTTGTCTTTTCCTTGGAATTCTGATGAGACTTTGATGATTGAAATGAATTCATGTGAAATAAAAACTCTTTAGCAGAATTTTGACTCTCTTAAAGGGACATGGACTTTTAAAAGTGATCTTTGTAAATTACAATGCTTTGTACTATGTCGTACTTAATTTTATAGTTTTTTATGGGTTGGTCCATTGGCGATATAGTTAATGGCAAACAGGGCCTGGCTTTTCCCCTTGTACATGCAGCTCAGAGGGTACAGCAAGCTCCTGGAGGAGAGAAACAGTTTACTCCCCTCAGCATAACATACCCTAAACAGGACTTGGTCAGGGACTTTCTCATTAGGCTCTAGAGCAAGACTCTAGAATTGTTTTTTTTTTTTTTTGGTGGTACTGGGCTTTGAACTCAGGGCTTCACGCTTGCTAGGCAGGTGCCCCACCACTTGAGCCATTGAGCTAACTTTTTGTCCATGTTGTGAGGCAGGGATCCAGGTTCATCCCTTTCATGTGGGCATTTAGTTGTTCCAGTGTCCCTTGTGGAAGAGTCTATTCTTTCCGCAGGGAGTCGTCTTGGCCATAGATTGATAGGCTAAGTTATGAACTCCCAATTGACGCGCATTGATCTATTATTGTATTTTTCCCTTGGTTCTGGGGATTGAATTGAGGAAACTGTGCATCATCCTACCATCTAGCTTCCTCCCCAGTCCAGTCAGCGCCACACTGTCTTGATAACTGCCCCTTTGTGGCAAGTTTTAAACACAGAACTGTGTGTCCTACCATTTTGCTCTTTTTCAAGATTGTTTTGGATCTTCTGAGTCCCTTGTATTTCCATATGAAATTCAGGATCACTTTGTCAATCTCTGCAACTGGAATGTTGATAGAGAATGTGCTGAATCTGTAGATCAATGTGGGGAATATTGCCATTCTACAACCATTGGGTCTTACAATCCATTATTATGGGTATCATTTCATTTTCTAAGTCATCTTTAATATCCTTCAATAATGCCTGACAGTTTTCAGACCAGAAGTTTTACACTCTTTACACTTACTCCTTGCTATTTTACTCTCTTAATTTCATTGCCACCATATAGAAGTATCTAGGGTACTGCCATCTTTTATTGTGCAACTTTGCTAAACTCACTCTTTACTTCCAATCATTTTTTCGTGGACTCCTTAGGATTTCCTGTAGAGAAGGTCATGGTGTCTGTATGTAGAGATTTACTTCTTACTTTCCAATTTGGGTGATTTCATTTCATTTTCTTGCCTAATTGTCCTGACGAGCACCTCCAGTCGGATGTTGAATAGAATGATGGGAGCAGACATCTTTGTTCCGATCTTAGGGGGATGTGTCCAGTCCCTCACATTCAGATGTTAAGTGTGAATTTTTCTCTGCATATCTTCTCTATCAGATTGAACAGTCTCCTTTCTATTTCTGGATTGTTGCTTGTTTTTATTGTGAAGAGTGTTGGATTTTATCCAAAGCTTTTTCTCCATCTACTGAGATTATCATGTGGTTTTTGTTCTTTTATCTATTGATATGGTATATTAAATCAATTGCTTTGCTGTTGCAAAACAAACTTGCATTCCTGGAATAATTCTCACTTAGTCATGATATATAATTGAGGGCGGCTCTCAGAATCCATGGAACCTCAGTTAAAAAGCCAGATTCATGCTGGGTGCCGTGGCTCACACCTGTTATCCTATCTACTAAGGAGGCAGAGATCAGGAGGATTGAGGTTGGAAGCCAGCCTGGGCAAAATAGGTCACGAGACCCTATCTCGAAAAAGCCCTTCACAAAAAAGGGGCTGGTCGAGTGGCTCAAGGTGAAGGCCCTGAGTTCAAACCCCAGTACTGCAAAAATAAAATAAAGTAAAAATAAAAAAATAACAAAAAAAAAGCCTGATTCATGGTGCAGTTGCTTCAAGTGGGGTCTTGCATTTCATAGTCTGTAAGGAATTTTTGGTACACATTTTAAAACTTTAATAAAAAGTAGCTTTGTGGTTTGCCTGCACAGATGTGATGCCAGCATAGCCAGACTCTCTGCAGAGCACAAAACGACCTATGAGGGGCTCCAGCACTTGAATAAAGAACAGCAGGCTGCCAAGCTGATCTTGGAAACAAAAATCAAAGATGCAGAAGGACAGGTAGGGCTGGTTTCAGGTAGCTTCTAAAAGCTGGGATTCTCCGAATAACATGGTGTTGATTATTTCTTGCAGGAGAAGCTAGCTAGAGCCCCCACCATGGGTTTATGCAAACCATGAACCAATCTTTTCCTTTCTTCTCTCTTCCCTCTCTGTCTGGCACCCAAACCACCAAGATTTTTTGGTACAATCTTAATTGTAAAGACTCTTTCTCCTCATTGCTAAAACAATTTCTATAGCCCAGAAAAATCTAAATTTTATCTCCAAAACTACCTCTTACACAGGTAAGTGACCCAAGCTCCTTTTACAGGTCATTCGTCACAATTTTTGATTCAGAAAGTAGTTACTGTGTCCCCTGGGACTTAATGTGTATGCTTCCTTGTCACACGGTCTGAATGTGGGACAAAATTAGGACAAAGCTAGAATCTTAAGGTCTTCTATATTGAAATTCATAGATGAATTTGACAATGCAAAACCCGTGGCATTTCACACTTTGTTTTTTGGCCACTTACAAGGTTCCCTTTATCATGAACAGGGCTTGTCTTCTAGGGCTTTTCCCACAGCATCTGCCTTATTTACTACTGTTCACTTAAAGAGAGGCTGCTCTAGAAAAATAGGGGGGTTATCTAGTCAGTTTATTGGGTGAAAATATTTATTTTGAAGTCAGGGGTGGTAATGCATGCCTGTAGTTCCAGCACTTAGTAGACTGAGGGGAGGATCACAAATTTGAAGCCAGCCTGAGTTACTGTGCCAAGAAAAGAAAGATAGGAGAGAAGGAAGGAAGGGAGGGAGGGAGGGAGGGCTTAAGTTTCCTGGTAGCCAAGCCAAGTAAAATATAAAAATTCATTAGAAAAGTCATACTCTTTCCTTGTTGTTGTTCTAGATGTGACAGATACCATGTATCTTTAAGAATATTGAACATCATAATTTTTTGTGGAAAATGTGAACATTTCACACAGGACTGGTTTTATAGTAAATCTTACTCAAAAGACAAGGGATAGGGATAGGTAGTGGGGAAAAGGAGCAGGAAGGGTATAGTCTACCAATAAGAGAGAAGAGAAGGAGGAATATAGTCTGCCAGTGAGAGAAAAGAGAAGGAAGAGTATAGTCTACCAATGGGAAAAAAGAGGAGGGATACAGTCTTCTGATGAGAGAAAGGTGCTGGAGGGATATAGTTGGCCAATGGGAGAAGGGAGGAGGTCTGTATCTTCCAATGGGGTAGACTTGACAGGGACTCCACCTGTGACCTCGATGGATTTTGTAAGCAATAGAAATTCCATTCTTTGTGGCTAGCAGCCACATTGCTGGTGAAATTCCAAGGTAAGGATGACTATTTTATGCCAGTTGGTGGCAGTCTGGTCCTGGGCTCCCTCGTTAGGGAGCCAGGAAGTTTAGTGCTCCACGAATGATGAATATTTTGGCAGTGCTCCCTGTTTTGATTTTTCACGAGTGTGGAGGAAGAAAACAGGTGGAGAGATGAGGTGCACTCCTAAATGGATTCAGTAGACTGAATCTTAATACCACTGAATGTAGCTTCTGAAATGTTTTTTTGAAGTTACATCTGAGGAGGCGAGGTGTGAGATTTATAAGCAAGCCTCTTTTTCCAGATTTCTCAGCTTTTGAACAGAGTGGACTTGTCAATATCAGAGCAGAGCACCAAACTGAAGATGTCTCATCGAGACAGTAACCACCAACTCCAGCTTTTGGATACTAAGTAAGTTACCAATTTGTCAATTTTTTTTCTGAGTTTATGCAATGCTACAATTTTCTTTTGGTGGGACTGGCCTCCTGCTTGCTAGGCAGGTGCTGTACTCCTCAAACCACACTTCAGCCCTTTTTGCTTTAGTTTTTTTTGGTGGCACAGGGGTTTGAACCTGGGCCATCATGCTTGCTAGGCAGGCGCTCTGCTGTTTGAGCCAAGCTTGCAGCCAATGTTTTACTGACTTTTTGAATAGGGTCTTGAGTTTATGCCTGGGCTGGAGCAAGATCCTTCTAGTTGCACTCTCTGCATAACTAGAATGACAGGCGTGCACTATCACATCCTACTTTTATTGGTTGAGATGGGATCTCAGGAATTTTTTGCCTGGGCTGGCCTTGAACTCTGGTCTTCCCCATATACTCTTCCTGAATAGCTAGGATTACAGGTGTGAAGCACTGCTTTCTGCTTATGGTTTTTTCCCTCTTGGTTTTTACTTATCAGACAGAGTGAAAATAATAATGGAGGTTAAAAGGAAAAGTGTCCATGTAGCATGTTGCATTTTTCTTTTATGGTTATTGTTTTTCCTGGTTGGGTCATAACCAGTTCATTCCATTCATACCTAGTCGAGTACTGGCCTGGGGGGTGAGGATTCCGTTATGGATAACAACAGTAATATCAACAACAACAAAACCAGGTGTGATTAAGGGTCTTTAGATGGGTGGGTTATCCAGGTAACCTTGATGTAGTTACTAGAGTCTTTATAAGAGGAGGCGCTCATGAAGAATGGTAAATTTTGAGTGCTGCTTATTTACTGGGGAGTGGGAAGATTGGTGAGTTCACCTGGGGCTTCTAAGTTCTGGTGTGTTCTGTGTCTTACGCTGACTGGAGGTGCCTAGCTGTATTAGTTTGGGCACAGGCTAGCTTTAGTGCTGTGACTTCCACATAACAGTTCCAAGGTCATTGTTCCAAGACAAGAAAGGCAGCCCGGATGACTCAGTGTGATGTCTTGCTGCTCGGGTCCTTGCTCCTCCCCCATCAGCCAGGAAAAGGGGAAAATCCAGGGCATAAGCTTTGTTTTTAAGGATGTGACCAGAAATGAGAACTTACCACTTCCATGTCCTATTACCTGACTTATTTGTATGTCAGATCTAGCTGCAAGGGAGGCTGGAAATGCCTTCAGCTGGGCAGCCATGTGCCCCATTAATATCTGATGGCTTCTTTTAAGACATAAGAGATGTTGGAGGACAGTTGGTGGTTCTGCCCCAATGGATGTTCATGTTATAATCACATGTTTACATCATGTATATTATCCCATTTTTAATTACATATCATAATAAAAATAAAAAAGTGATTAAGGGAGGTAGCATATGTGGACAGGACATAGAGGAATGGAATGGTTTTTTTTGTTTGTTTGTTTGTTATTTCATTTTCCTTCTGATTTAAAGGATATGTCCATATGCAGCAAGAGCAATTTGAAAACATAAATGAGAAAGGGAGATAAAAGGTACAAGGAGGAATGGCCCAGGGAAGGAAGGAGCCTGGGAGAGGAGACAAGGGACGCTGTCCTCTGCGGAACTGGGGATGAAACCCAGGGCCTCACACATGCTAGGCAAGCGCTCTACTACTTGAGCCACACATCCGGCCCCTACTATGTCCTCTGGGCCAGAAGCACTGTTGACGCTCAGAACTGCAAAGTTGCACACCTGGCACAGCACAGTGTCCCTGTGTCACCTCAGTGCTCACCCTGGTGGCTCCTCATGGGTGGGAGCGTCACTAGGTACTTTTCTGTTGTATCTTTCTGGCCTCCTCTCTTCCCAACTTAGTGCTGTGTGCAATCCTCAGAAAAGGTAAGCATGTCATTCTGACTGAGATGGGTTTGTATTGATCAAAAATTCAATATTAAGGTTGTTTAATGTCACTTAAAAATTGTTTTACATTCAACTTGTTTACTTGCCTTGTTTATTTATTTATTTTTAGATTTAAAGGTACAGTTGAGGAACTCAGTAACCAGATTTTATCTGCACGGAGTTGGTTGCAACAGGAACAAGAACGGATAGAAAAAGAACTTTTACAGAAAATTGATCAGCTTTCCTTAGTTGTAAAGGAAAATAGTGTAGGTATTGATGTTTGGCAATAATTTAGTAGTTAATCAGTGGGAGGCCTACAAGGTTTGACTAATACTTGGTAAATTTTTCACTAATTTACTTGGAACCACCTAATGTAAACTGGTTTTTTTTTTTTTTTTTTGTGGTTTTGGGGTTTGAACTTAGGGCCTACACCTTGAGCCACTCCACCAGCCCTTGAACCATCCTCCTCCTGATCTCTGTATCATGAGTAGGTAGGATTATAGGCATGAGCCACTGATGCCCAGCTGGTTGATTGTTTTTTTCCTTTGAATTCATTTCCATGGTTCGTATTCATTCTTTGTATTTTTTGTTCATTTGTTTCTGGGGATCAAAGCCAGGGTTTCACGCTAAACCCAAACTCTATCATTGAATTGCACCTTACCCCTATCATTTGCATTCTTTATAAAGAGATGGAGCAGGGTCACTTGTTTTAGTTAACAAATTAAAATTGTAATTTTTAGTACTTTCAGTTAAGATAAATCTATGACCCAAACTGTCCACCTGCATTTCTAAATAGAGCTAACAATTACCAACTTGATCTTGGTTTGTTTTAGCTTCATGACATGGTCATGAGGTGACCAGTGTTGAATAGATTTTTCTCTTCAAACCCCTCCCCTGCCCTACAAGCACATGAGAGGTGTTCCAGTGCAGTGTGTCACAGAATCTGTCATTTTCTTTTCTACCTCCTTCGTTCTGTCTTTCACAGAGAGACTTTTTCTTTTCCCTTCCTTCCTTTTTTTTTTTTTTTTTTTTTTGGTAGTACTGGGGTTTGAACTCAGGGCTTCATGCTTGCAAAGCAGGTGCTTTACTGCTTGAGCCACGGCTCCAGTCCAACAGAGAGACTTTTTAACAACCATCTGCAGGGAGCACAGTTGTGATGGCTGTCTGCTGCTCACCCCAGTATCCATTCTCAGTTATTCCTTCCCTAAAAATCCCTCACTTTGTAGCTCAGTACAAGGTCATCCAGAATAAAATCTCACTTTCCTGTCTCCTGAGTTTGGGGTGGCTGTGTGATGAACTTCTAGACAATCAGATGCAAGTCCTTTTATCCCAGGTGCTCACAGAGCTAAGGTTTGCAGAATTGCTCAAGGAGCATATCCAGAAAGGCTTGCACTCATCATCTTCAAAACCAGCAGGCTGGGAAACCAGTACTTGGCAGGGCATTTTTGTGGGTCTGGGTCAGTTAGTGTGACCATCTCCCATGCCTTTCTCTTTTCCCATGCTGCTGCCCTGTCTGGGCTTCCCACAGAGCAGAAGGAATGGTGAAGTTTGTATCTCTCTTCTGCGCTCTCCAATGCAGAGTGTTGAATCACAGATGTGCCATCCAGAGAGCTTTGTTGTGTCACACCACTTAAGGCTTGGTATTTGTAGTCCTGGCCTCCAAAGCTCATCTACAGACAGATTCTCATAAAAACCAGGCATGGGACCAGAGGTCAAGCTGTAGAGTGCCTGCCTTGCAAGCCCAAAGCCCTGCGTTCAAACGCCAGTACCACCAAACAAAACAAAGCAAAAAACCAAGTCCAGAGGAAAGGACAGAACGCATGGGTCATTTCAGTGTTCTTTTTAGTGATCCTTCACATCTACTGGTTATTATACATCAGGTCACACTAATACATTTGTTGACTCCTGGGACTTTGAATTACTGTTGATTTTTACATGTGGATTGGTTTAATGACTAACAGTAAGCCTCAGGATTATGGTGGTGTTAATAAGATGGGAGCATATTTCTCTTTCATGTACAAGAAGTTTGGGTGTAGGCTGTCTGGGATAGATATGATGGTTTGTCAACCCTTTTGTGATTCAAGATCCTTTTAGTTTAATTTTTTTTGTACCCTCTCTCCTCACAATTCAAGATAGCAGCTAGAGCTCTAGTCACTGGAGCCATTCTGAATTCTAGAAACAGAAGGAAAAAGGAAGAAATAAGGCTATACATCAGCTGTCTTACAACTTTTTTTCTGGAAGCTGTCAATATACTTCTCACATCTCATGACCTAGAACTTATTCACACTAGCAAACCAAACTCAGGAGATAGAGGAAAATTTTTACTCTGGGTGACTTGTACTGAGCTAAAATTTGAGGGGCCATCAAAGAAGAAGGAATTGAGGATGGATCCTGGGATGGACAACAAGTAGCCGTTTCACTTCCTTTCCCCACAGATTGGTGTTAAATACTGTGCCTGATGCAAACTCAATGCAGACTTTCTTTCTGGGGTAACCAAGTGCATTTCTTCCCATGGATCTCAGGGAGCCAGTGAAAGGGACATGGAGAAAAAGCTCAGCCAAATGTCAGCCAGGCTTGACAAAATCGAAGAGAGTCAGAAGAAGAATATGGAAGGCCAGAGAACGAAGCAAGAAGAGGAGAAAGTACATGGGCGGATCAGCTTGCTGGAGCTACAGATGAATGAGGACTTGAAGGAGATGAAGGCAGAACTCAATGCTGGTAGGCCAAAAGTGGAACAGCTCACATGGCTTATTTTCTACTTTATCTAATCTTCCTTCCTTATTTTGGCAATACTGGGGTTTGAACTACTCATGGCTTTGTGCTTAGGCAGGCACTCTACAGCTTGAGCCACACCTTCAGTCCTTTTTTTTGCTGTGATTGTTTTGGAGATAGCATCTCACTTTTAGACCAGGCTAGCTTGGATTATGAATATTAGGCTTACTACCATCGCTGGGATGACAGGTGTGAGCTTCAAACCAAGATCCTCATGATCTCAGCCTACCAAGTAGTTAGGATTATAGGTAGAAGCCATTGGTGCCTGGCCTAAGAAAAATCTATTAATTAATATCCCCTACAACCAATGTATGAACCTGACTAATGGTAATACCAGTGAAATGCCCTTATTTGCTTTTCTTAGTGGCTGTGCTGTATTGAACAAAAGTGGTATTTTAATCCCAAGTGTATGAAGAACCACTGGAAGGCACAGGCAAACAAAACTAAAATTGCTTAGCTTGCAAATGATGTGCATTTTCTTTAGTGCCTCCTGCTGGTTCTTTTCTGTTCACTGCCAATGTCAGCATACCTCAGAAATAAGCATATATATTTGAGGGGATTATTATTATTATTTTTGATGGCATTGGGACTTGAACTCAGGACTTCATGCTTGCTAGGTAGGTACTCTACTGCTTGAGACACTTCACCTATTTTGTGGTGGGTTTTTTCAACGTAGGGTCTTTTGCAAACTATTTGCCCTGGCTGGCTTTGAACATAATCCTCCTGATCTCTGCCTCTGGAGTAGCTAGGATTGTAAGTGTGAGCCAGTGAGCCTAGCTGAGGGGAGTCTTTACTTACTTATTTTTGGCTCTAGTGGGGTTTGAACTCAGGCCCTTGTGCTCTACCACTTCAGCCACCATCCTTCTCCACCCCCAGTCCTTTTTGCTTTGGTTATTTTTGAGGTAGGATGTCACTTTAGGCCTGGGCTGGCTTAGACTTTGATTCGCCTCTTTATGTTTCCTGCATAACTGAGATGACAGGCCTGTGCCACCACTGCCAGCTTGTCTTGGAAGGTCTTTATTTCTTAATCGAGTTTGAAGACAACTTTGCTGGATAAAGTATTTGGCTGGCAGTAAATCTCTTTCAGAGCTTGAATTACATTGCTCCATGCTTTCTTGGCTTTTAGGGTTTGTGCTGAGAGGTCTGAGGTGATTATTATGTGTTTACCTTTGCATGTGAGCTGGTATTTTTCTCTTGAAGCTTTTAGTCTCCTTTCTTTGTTCTCTAAATTTGGCATTAAATTTTTTTTTGTGGTACTGGGGTTTGAACTCAGGGCCTTAGAATTTGCTAGGCATGCACACTATCACTTGATCCATTCTGCCATCTAGATTTGGCATGTTAATTTTGATGTGTTATGATGTTGTTCTTTTCTGACCATGTCTATTTGGAGTTCAAAATGCCTCCTTACATGGGTGTCTGTGTTGTTGCATAGATTTGGGAAATTCTCTGCTGTGAGTTCATTGAATATGTTTCCTTGCCTTTAGTTTGTATTTCAGCTCCTTCATCCAGTGCATGAACTCTTAGGCTTGGTCTTTTGACATGTCCCAGAGTTCTTGTCTGTTGTATTCACGTGTATTAATTTTTTTCTTTATGATTGTTTATATACAATAGCTCCTTAATCTTGTCTTCCATCTGTGATATTGTACCTTCTGTTTAATCTTGTCAACTGATAATAAATTGTGGTTTGTATTTAATTTATTGAGGTTTTCATTTTTAACATTTCTACCTGGTTATTTTTCATAATTTCTACTTCCTTGCTGAATTTCTCTTCCATGATGCTGACTTTCTTGTCTAGGTCTTGGGTTGATTTCCTAACTTCATTTATCTGTTTGAGTCCTGTTTAAGGTCTCTGATCATTTTTAGCAGTAGGCTTCTGAAGTCTTTCTCTGATATTTCAGCCAATTCCTTATCTTTGGGTTCAGATGTTGAGTTGTGGTGGGAGTTTGGAGGTGAGACATTGTCTTGGCTTTTCATGTGTTTTGAGCATCTCTTGGTCTAGTACTCCTCTTACTTCTTTGGGTGAGTGGGGAACCTACTATAATAGTAAGGTTAACAATTCAGCAACAAATCAAGAAAGGAACAATTGAAGCCCTAATCTGTCTCCCCAGTGAGGTTGAATGGGAGCAAAATTCTGATTTCTAGGGGGATGATCTGGGGGCTTACCACTGGTTGGAGGGTATAAGGATTGGAAATTGAGTATTATGGAGGTTGGATGGGGAAGGGAGGAGAGGGATGATGGGAGGAAGGGGAAGCAGGTGTAGGGGGTAGTATGAGAGAGCTGTAGCTGTTTATAACAGAGAAATAGAGAATGAAAGAAAAAGGAGAGAAACAAACAAGAACAAATTGGATAAAAGGAAATAAACAATCAAAGAACCAAAACCAAATAAGATCATCAACAACAAATAATAAACAGAACAAAGAAAGAAAAATAAAGCTGGGTGCTGGTGGCTCACACCTATAATCCTAGCTATTCAGGCGACAGAGATCAGGAGGATTACGTTTGAAGCCAGCCTGGGCAAAGCCTGGGCAAATAGTTCTAGAGACTCTAGCTCAAAAAAAAAAAAAAAAAACCCATCACAAAAAAGGGCTGGTGGAGTGGCGCAAGGTGTAGGCCCTGAGTCAAACCCCAGTACCACCAAAAAAAAAAAAATTCTCATGGGAGAGAAGTATGTTTTTCCTCCTTTGGTCCTTCTTGCCTGGGTGTTATGGGAACAGCCTCAGAAAGGTGGAGTTGCACCTGTAGCTGGGGCTCAGGGAGGGGCAGCTAAGACAGTCAATTCTCTTGAAAAGCTTTGCTCCCTGAGTTGCTCTGGGTCTGAGATTTCCTGTGGCTGGCAAGCCATTCCTTCTGTAAGGCAGGGGCAGGTAGCTTGAGAGGGCAGGTCCACCATCTTCTGTGTCTTTTAATGCTTTTCCCACATGGGACCAGTCCAAAACTCCCCCTCTATTTCTGCCTGTGGTGGTGGACTTCCAAGCGGACACTGGAGCACCTGGACTGTGATATTTTGAACCCGAGATTTACTCAGTTAGAAGCTTGTTGCTTGTTGCTTGTTGTTTGCTATTAAGCAGCTGCTCTAACTGGAGTTCTCAGTGAGTGGGGGCTGGGTGTTTTGTTTTTGAAATTGGCCATATTCAATGAGGTTTTTGGGCAGGGTTGCTGACCTCTGGGTGTTCCCTGCCTGGGATGCTCTGGTGGTAGGTTTCTACCCTGACAAGGTAGATGGGAGACCCAGAAGTCTATGCTCTGTGATTTTCCATATCTTCCCAAATTGCTCAGACTTCAGGCTGGCCTGCCTGCAAGGTGCTTCAGACACCTGAGCTCTCTGCCACGGAAGGCTAGGTGCTTTGCTTTGGAGAATTCCCTCAGGCAGTTAGGTGGACTGCCAGTTCCCTACTCCAGCACCTTTTACCTTCTCAGCTTGCTGCAAGTTCAAGGACTCTGCAGCCAGGTGGTTTTGAAGCCAGAGTGAGTCTGCAGGCTGCTCTCTGAGGTGAGGGAAATGCGGGGTTGTCCTGTTTTGCTGTTGACCTCCGTGCAGGGGGAAATTACTATCTTGTGACATCTCTGCACTGGGGTTAGGATTGGTGGTGGCGTAAATATTGTCCCAGAGCTGGTTTTGTCAGTCTGTTGTGGCTGATGCTTGGCTTAGCTTCAGGTAGGTGCTGCAAGATGTTTCTATGTTGTCTTTTTGATTCATCATATTTTTCAGATATCCAGTTACTCTTTCCTCCTGTGCTCTCCTCTCTTTGGCTCTTCTGTCTGTAGTCTTCTTTGTTATCCAAACTCTCATTCACATGGCTTGACGGAGAAAGTGTCTATTCTTCTGCCATCTTGCTGCTCCATCCACACCTAGCTTCTATTTGTTGAGATGGGGTCTCATGAACCTTTCCCTCAGACTGGCCTCATACCACAGTCCCCCAGGTCTCCACCTTCTGAATATCTAGGATTTTAGGCTTGAGCTAATGTGTCTGCTCTTTGAAGGGCTTCTGGGAGCTCATGTTACACTGCTGACTGAATGCCACCGTGGTGGATGGACTTAAGCAAGGCCATGCTTTCACTCTTGTTTACAGGGGAACACCAGAGATGTTTTCAGGTTCCTAGTACTGTCATAAAAAAATCTGTTTTCTGCTGCTATAACTGAATGCCTGAGGTTGGGGAACTTCTAAAGAACAGAGATCTGCTTCTTACAGGCCTGGGAGGCTGAGAAGCCCATGAACATGATGCTGGCATGCGACCAGGGCCTTTTTGCTGTCATATCATAGTGGAGGGTGTTGAAAAATCAGGCTGAAGCCATCCTTTGGTCAGGAATGCACTCCAAGATGATGGCCTTAATTGATTGCCAGGGCTGGGATGCCCTCATGACCTAATCACCTTTAGATCCCACCTTTTACTGGCGACAATGACAATTGAATTTCAACATGAGTGTTGGAAGGGGGATGTAAATCATCATAGCAGGGAGAGAGTTACACTTTGAACTCAGGAATAGAGAAATGAGATCAGTAGGTGGCAGCTAGGCAAGTTTTAACTCAGGCAAAAATATCTGATGGGTCTTAAAAGACAGGGGTGGCTTTGAGAATGGAGAGAGTTCTGTGAGTAGAAGTATGCCAGTGAAGCCTGGTCCATCTTGATGACAAAGGAGAAGAGGGTCTGTGGTGTGGGAAGTGAGGCCAAATGACCTCCCAGTTCCCTCTGTGATTCCATGGATTTTCTTCTGCTGTGTTTTAGTTTGAGCACATGTATACTTATTCCAAAAATAAATTTATGTTTCCACCAAACGCTTATTATTTCATTTAAGTAGCAGCTACAGTTAAGCTTAGAAGTGGGAGAATTTGGAAAAAGAAAAATGATTTTTCATGCCAGGCATGATGATGTATGCCTGTAATCCCAACCCACTCATTCAGGAGGCTGAGCAGGAGGATCACAAGTTCAAAGCAAGCCTGGGCTACATAGTGAGACCCTGTTTCGAACAAGAAAATAATAGTAACTTTATTTTCTTTTATTTCTTAGTGGTGCTGGGAGTTGAACTCAGTGCTTTATGCTTGCTAGGCAAGTGCTCCATTGCTTGAGCCATGCCTCCAGCAATAATTTTCTTTCTTTTTTTTTTTTTTCATTTTTCTTTTATTATTCATATGTGCATACAAGGCTTGGTTCATTTCTCCCCCCTGCCCCCACCCCCTCCCTTACCACCCACTCCACCCCCTCCCGCTCCCCCCCCAATACCCAGCAGAAACTATTTTGCCCTTATCTCTAATTTTGTTGTAGAGAGAGTATAAGCAATAATAGGAAGGAACAAGGGGTTTTGCTGGTTGAGATAAGGATAGCTATACAGGGCATTGACTCACATTGATTTCCTGTGCGTGGGTGTTACCTTCTAGGTTAATTCTTTTTGATCTAACCTTTTCTCTAGTACTTGTTCCCCTTTTCCTATTGGCCTCAGTTGCTTTAAGGTATCTGCTTTAGTTTCTCTGCGTTGAGGGCAACAAATGCTAGCTAGTTTTTTAGGTGTCTTACCTATCCTCACCCCTCCCTTGTGTGCTCTCGCTTTTATCATGTGCTCATAGCCATGCCTCCAGCAATAATTTTCTTTCTTAATGGGCACCAATGGCTCACACCTTGCTAGTCAGGAGGCAGAGATCAGCAGGATCATGTTTGGAATCCAGCCTGGGCAAATAGTTCAGGAGACCCTTATCTCAAAAAAAGCCCATGACAGAAAAGGGCTGGTGGAGGGGCTCAAGTGGTAAGAGTGCCTGCCATGAAAGTGTGCTGAGTTCAAACCCCAGTGCCACCAAACAACAAAAAAAATTCTTACTTGGTCTTTTGGTCTGTTAAAATACTTCTTCAGTGTGTAAGTTTCTGTCATTTCCTGAATGAATTCACTGTTACCTATTGAATATACTATTGAGGTTGTTAATATGTGGTACCTAATAGGAAATGCATATGAGACTTCTTTAAATTAAAAATATTTTATTACAAATAGGATACATTTCTCTTTCTTCTTCTTCTTCTTCTTCTTCTTTTTTTTTTTTTGTAATGTTAGGTTTGAACTCAGGCTTTGCACTTGCTAGGCAGGCGCTCTGCTGCCAGAGCCAGGCCTCCAGCCCTTTTGCTCTGGTTATTTTGACATGGGGTCACTTGCTTTTGCCCTGATCTGCCTGGACCTCAATCCTCCTATTTGTGCTTCTCCACATAGATGGGATGACAGGTGTGCACCTCCATGCCCAGTTTCTTTTCCATTGAGACAGAGTTGTGTGAACATTTATTTTTTGCCTTGGCTGGCCTGAAATTGCAATCCTCCCAATCCCAGATTCCTGAGTAACTAGGATTACAGGTGTGAGCCATCAGCACCCAGCAAAATAATACATTTCTTTCCCTCCCTCCCTCTCTCCCTTCCTCCCTCCCTGCCTTCTTTCCTTTGGTGGGACTGTGGTTTGAACTCAGGGCTTCACACTTTCAGAGCAGGCACTCTAGCACTTTAGGCACACCTCCAGCTCATTTTCTGCTCTGGTTATTTTGGAGATGGGATGTCACAAACTATTTCCCCAAGGCTGGCCTTAAACCATGAACCTCCTCATCTCAGCCTCCCAAGTAGCTAGGATTCAAGTGTGAGCTACTGGCGCCTGGCTGATAATGTGTTTCTTAATGGAAAAATCATAAAGCAGCAAATTCTTTTAACAGTCCCTGGTTTCTCTCACCCATAGGCCATTTTTCTGTCTGCCTTTCTATACCTGTAAAATGCCTATGCACTTCTGAAGGAAATGTTACGGTGTGCACACTGGTTTATCCCTGCTGATATGGTATATCTTTCCATGTGAGCAGAAACAGTTTTAATGAGTAATTTTTACACATTTTTTTTCATGACACAATGAAAATTTTCTTGAAGAAAAGTATAAATTTTACCAAGGAAGACTAGATTTTTAAAAAGCATTTAATTTAAAAAAAAACAATGGAAATACAGAATAACATGAAATGCTTTTTTGATGGAGACTTTTTCTTTTCTTAATCTTTTATTTTGAGATAATTTCATATTTAGAAAACTCTACATGCCCTAGACACTCCGATTATAATCATTTGGGAATATACTTAATATCCATGTGGTGTGTTTGAATATATTTTTTTCTCTGAACCCTTTGGAAGTTGTAGAAATCCCATGATGCCTTTTTTACCCTTTATTATTTCAGCATCTACACCCTAAGAACAGAACGTTTTCTTATATGGCTACATAATGGAACAGCAGCAAAATGTTTTTCACCTTCCATATTCAAATTTTGCCATTGTTTTCAGTACAGCAAACCTTCACCAGACCAGATTCTTTTTTTCTTTTCTTGTTTTCCTAATCAGATTTTATTATTATTATTATTTTTTACAGTACTGGGGTTTGAACTCAGGACTTTGTTCTTGAGGCAGAAGTTTTACCACTTGAGCCATGGCTCCAACCCTTTTTGCTCTACTTATTTTGGAGATAGGGTCTCATTTTTAGTCCAGAGCAGCCTGGACCACTATCCTCCTATTTTATGCTTCCTGCTATAGCTGGAATGACAGGGGTGTGCTACCATGCCCAGCTTCTTTTCCATTGAGATGGGGTCTTGCAAACTTTTTTTGCACAACCTGCCTGGAACCCCTATCTTCCTCATCTCAGCCTCCCTTACAGCTTGGGACAACAGGCACATACCTCTGCATCCAGCTATTGGTTGAGATGAGATCTTGCTAACTTTCTGCCCTTGCTGGCTTTGAACCACAAGCCTCCTGATTTCAGTCTCCCAAGTAGCTTAGGGACACAGACAAAAGCATAGGTGCCCAGTCCCAAATTTCTTTCTTTCTGTTTTTGGCAGTACTGGGGTTTGAACTCAGGGCCTCACACTTGCTAAGCAGGTTCTCTACCACTTGAGCCACTCCACCAGCACTATTTTCAAGATAGAGTTTCGGGAACTTTTTGCCCGGGAATGGCTTTGAACTGTGATCCTCCTGATCTCTGCCTCCCGCCTAGCAAGGATTACAGGCATGAGCTCAGATGTTTTTTAAATTAAAAAAAATTAGTTACATATATTGAAGGTGTTTTGATACATATATACATAACGAAATGGCTATTATATTCAACCTAATTGGCAGATTCACCATCTTAAATAGCTACTCTTTTGTACATCTTAAAGGCAATGCAGTATTATTGATTACAGCCCTCATTCAGTATTAGACCACTAGACTTGTGCATCCTGTATATTTGCTACATCCATACTCTCCCCACCCATCTGTCCACCATCTGTTCTTGGTAACCACTATTTTATTCTGTTTTTGCTTATTTCTTTTTGATTCTACATAGGAAATCACATAGTATTTGTCTTTCTGTGTCTGTCTTATTTCACTTAACATAGTGTCCTCCAGGTTCATCCACGTTGTGGCAAATGACAGGATCTCCTTTTGTAAGGGTGAAATAGTATTATTGTCTACAAATACCATGATTTCTTTGTCTGTCATCTGTTGCCAGACGCTTAGGTTGTTTCTGATTCTCAGCTATTGTGAATAATGCTGCAGTGGGAATGCAGATGTCATTACAAAGAAATGGTGGTTTCATTTCTTTTGTGGATCTACCTAGTAGTGGGATTGCTGGATCATATCTTAGTTCAATTTTAAATTTCTTTAAGAGACAATAGACTGTTTTCCGCAACGGGTGCAACATTTTCCATTCCCACCAATAGTATGCTGGGGACTCTTTTCTCCTTCTCCTCTCCTCTGCTCCGCTCCGCTCTGCTCTGCTTTGCTCTGCTCTCCCCTCCTGTCTTCACCTCCCCTCTCTTCCCCTCCCCTCCCCTCCCGTTGTCTATCTCTGAGGCAGTGATGGGGGTGGAACCTAGTGCATGCTAGAGAAGCACTCTATCACTGAGCTACATTCCCAGCTGTTGGCTTTGAGAAAGAGTCTCACTATATAGCTCAGGCTGGCCTTGAACTTGAGATCCTTCTGCCTCCCCCTCCTGAGTAGCTGGGATTATAGGATGTGCACCATCACGTCCAGCTATGTCTTGTCTTTTTGATACTAGCCATCCTAACAAATATGAGGTGACGTCTCCTAGTTGTTTTGATCTGTATTTCCCAGATGATTGGCCAGGCTGAACACCTTTGCATAAGCCTATTGGCCACTCAGGTTCTAATCCTGAATTGCACATGGTATTTAGTTACCGTCAAGCTTCTTTACTTAGTCTTGTTTGATTTGGATCTATCTGTTCTGTAGTGATCCTAATATTTTTTAAAAAATACAGGCCGGTATTTTGTATTTGGGTTTACTTCCTCATGATATGACTTGGGACAGAGATGCCGCAGGAGGAATGTTGTGTCCTGCCCTCATATTTGATCCCAAGGTATGTGACATTGATTTCTCCCAATGATAGTGATGTGGTTAACTGGTAGCTACCAGATTTCTTCATTGTAATAGATCCTTTCCTCCCTTTGTAATTAAAAAGTAATTTCCTGGTGAAATTCTCCTGTTCCCCATCACACTTTTACCTCTAGAGTTTTAGCATCTATTGATAATTTTTGTCACAACCAACCATTACTGTTGCTGTAGCATCTGATAAAGCACTGTCCTTAAAATATTAACTCTCGTGAAATTTGCCTCTTCTTAAAGGGTTCACAGCCATTTATGAGAGCATAGGGTCTCTCAGGCAAGTTCTCGAGGCCAAGATGAAGTTGGACAAGGACCAGCTGCAGAAGCAAATCCAGCAAATGCAGAAGCCGGAAACCCCCATGTGAGGGGACTGGGACAAGGACCTCAAAGATGACCTAAAAGTTGGGGCTAGGACCTAGACACCCCTGTAGCCAACCTGCGCTGCATTCGGGACTGTTCCATCCATGGCGTGCATGTGCCGAGAAATGTGTTTTCATGGGTCTAAATGTTTACCTTGAGTCTTGAAAACACTCTTTCTTTATAAAAAAAATACAGTTTTGCCACTGTTTTTCACTCCTCTACCTTCAGTGGAGTTTCCCTCCTCCCCCAACTCAGATATTGAAAGGCTTTTGTCTTCTTCATTTTATGAATGAAAACAATTTTTTTCAATGCTTGATGCTCCAGCCAAGACAATTTACTACTTTGAAAAGATGTCATGGTGATTTTTTTAAAATTAAGAAACTAATGAGTTGTCACAGGAGCGTGTCTCACCTCACCCTGAATTTAAGAGAATGTCTCAATAGATTAGAATTCAACCTTCAAGTGCAAATTTGGATTTTATTACTGCTGTCTGTATATTTCTTATATTGGTTATCTTCTTGTAAATCTTCTGTCTTTTGTACGGGAAGAGATTTAACACTTGGAAAAAACCCTACTATTTATGTAATGAAACTAGTCTAAAATTGATAACTGCCATATAGATTGCAAATTAAATGAAACTTAATTATCCCGATAACGCAAGGCACAATATTTACATCCACCTAGTTCTACCAGGTTTTAATACATAAGACTATTTTTGAATTATCCACAGCCTGTATAGTGACAGCCATATATTTCACAATGGGATGGTGGTTAACAGTCTGTTTATTGCACAACTAATTGTTCATCAATCACAGTGGAATGTGAGAATTTTTCTGACTATGATCTCTCCAGATGTTTCTGAAATTGGCACACAGTGCTAAGGTTATATACACTTATTGTAACTGTATTCTTGTGCCTTGGTTTTATCATGTCAATGCACTGTACCCTCTAAAAGTTTTCCAACAAAATAGATGGCATGATAATACATCAGAGTTATGACACAAAAAATGGGATCCTATGTATTTTTTAAATGTTCTAAAAATTTTATCACTGTTAAGACATGAATCAGTCAGTACTATTAACAGAACAGAAACTCGTACTTTTGTATGGACAAAGAATCAAATTGACATTGCACTTACAGTTCTGTCAAAAAATGTTCATCTTGAGCAACTTTGTAGATGATGGGTGTCTTATTTTCAATCGCCATATTTGATTAGTCATTGGTAAACTTGATCAGTGCTGCTTGTTTACCTGTGTATGTGAAAATTGACAGTGAGAGGCATGGTTCTAAACTGTGAGGTGCCCCACGAGAAAGAACAGGAATACTTAAAAAGGTTTTTATTTTTTTTAACACCTTTTTTTTTCTTCCGTTTGCAAGGACTCAGGAAAATAAAAGCATTTTCTATTTTTAGGATCAATCAAAACTGAAATATGGAACTGGCTATTACTGTTTACCCATATAGAACATGCTGCTAAAATACATATTTTACTTTCAATAGCTTGACAAAATTTTTTTTAAAATTTGGATTCTTGAGAGGTTATCTAAAGAATGTGTCATCTAACATGTATTTCCTTTTTTGTCACAAACCTTTTCATCTCTATATAGGAAGATTATTTGTACTTAAACAAAAGAAGTCAATACTCTTGCAATCAGAAAGCGAATTTCTTTTTGTGATAGAGTAGCCATGTTTTGTGGAGTTCTCCGTGATTAAGCACAAGCCACAGGACAGAGCCACGCCCCCACCCCCCATGTCTCTCTCCTCTGGGGTCTCTAAGGAGGAAGGACCAGCACATCTGACACCTGGGACGAGAGGGATAGGGGACACCAGCTGACTCTGGTCCAGGGGCTGATGTAAGCAAGTGACTTGACTGTTGGCTAAATGTCTCAGCTGCTCCCCACGTTGCCAGCCTGTGTGTTGCCACAGGGTCTCTCTACCCTGGCTGCTTGTTCGACTCACCTGGGGGAGAGGGGCGTGTTAAAAAGCTATTGATGCCGAGCGCCCCCCCTCCCTTGGTCCAATTAAGTTAGAACCTCTGGGAGGCAGTCGCAGGCATCAGCAGGTGTCAGAGGACCCCAGTGATTCGGTGTGCAGCCACGACAGGGGAGTACCCTTCTCACCAAAGTTTCAATGAGAATCAGCTTCCGTGTTCTTTACCAGAAATTTGCAATAAAAAGAATAAAATTTCCAAATAAATGTGGTGTGTGATTTTTTAAGTTTAAAAGTCTTTTAGTTTGAGGTGAAAACTTAATTAGGTGAACTGTCTTAAGAAATATACCTCTTTGCTGACTTTGAAATAAAGTGCTGAAGTCCTGGCAGGCCCTGTGGGACCTGGAACAGCACTGGGACCTGCTGCAGCCGTGGGTCCTGGGGCTTCAGGCCTTCTCTTGGGCCTGACAACTACCACATGAGCCCTGTGGGCCTGTGCTGCATCCCTGGTATGTGTTTAATGACAACTAGTTGAGTTACATTTGAACTTGCCTCAATAATCATAGCTAATAAGTGTAGGTATAATTCTGACCGGGCAGCCAGCGAACACAGGCTGAATGCTTACCTAGTATCCTGCACTGTTTCTGAAGACATCATGGCCACAAACTCAGCCCCATCTCTTTATAACCCTAACATTCTGCCACATGTCTACCTTTGCTTTTTAATGCCCCAATTCCAAATCCCTAAAAAGGCAATCTTACCAGTTTTCTTTGGGTCCGATGTCTTCCGCTGGTCCTATTGATGGGAACACAGGAAGTGGGGTCAGTTGGTACCACAGGGTTATAGGTTCACAGGCATTTATTTCATCTGTCCTAGGCTGAGCAGGTAATCAACCATGGCTCTGTCCTTTGGGAGATGGGTAATGGGTAAGAACAGAGCGTCAGGCTGTGATGATCCTACTTTCACCCTGGAAAAGAATCGAAAACCGTTCATAGCATCAACGATAGCATTATTGGCAGTTTTTCTGGCACTGCCCTTTTCTAGTTGTGTGAAATTGGACAATTCTCTTAAATCTTGTTGAGTCTTGTTTTTATGATTAACAGAATGGAGATTATAATTTAAAACGGAGGTAATTTGTGATTTTCAAAGTGTACAGTTAGTTTATATAATCCTAGGCTTCAAATAATGAAAAACGGGGTGAGGGAAGGGAGGTATTGTTGATGTGATACAGGAAGTGTGCAAGTGATCCTGGGCGTGGTGACCCAATCCTGTAATCCCAGTTCTTTGGACGTTGAGGCAGGATCATGAGTTCAAGGCTAACCTGGACAACCTACTGACACCCTGTCCCCCACACACAACCTCCTTCCCCAAATAAGCAAAGAAACAAAGAGAAAGAAAGTATGTGGTGACAGAGAAAGTATATGGGATTCATGTTTTGGTCCAAAGTGTCCCATTATTTGCTGGGACCACAATTGGAAAGTAACTCTAGTTTCCAATGAAAGTGATATTCCAGTCCAAGACACAGGAAAGGAGTTGTACTTGGCTGAAGCAAGATGTAGACAGAACAAGCATGGGTATAATCCTGAATGTGGGGAAGGGGGGGGAGAACCCCAAACTAATCTCATAACTTGAACAGCTAAGGCTTCCCCAGGCTGGCCCTGGAGTAAGTTGAGTCTCTGGAAAGGCCAGTGTTGAGAAGAGTGGGATCAGAGCCAGGATAAAGAGGCTCTGGCTCTTTGACCCAGACAAGAGGGTCAAAGGCTGATAGGGAGGCTGGGGATTCAGAGCTCAGAGTTCAAGTTGAGCAATGAGATCCCAAATAGCCAGCTGGCATTTGAGCTGGACTGACATAAAATGTGTGTGTTCTGTGCCGACACTCATCAGCTCTGTAGTGAGGAAAAGCTTGCAGTTCAACTTAGAGCCCCACTGAATAGTGGCACTGACCATTTAGAACTACACTTAGGAAAAATATGGTACATTGTACTTCTCATTCTGGGCTTTTGATTAAGCTAGTTTCAAACATTTATTTGTCCATCAACATTTTGGGTCCAGAATTCAGGGGCCTTTTTAGGAATCCTTTTATATAGATACTTGTACTGCAGACCCATCTGGCTATCACAGTCACTTCTGGGATTAGGTTATACAAAGATGGTGGCATCTTGTTCTCTCTCTCTCTCACCTGCACTGGTGGAAGCAAGCTACAGTGGTGTAAGGAAGCTATAGAGGGGGCTGTGTGGTATTGGACTTAGGTCCAACAGCCTACGATGAATTGACATTTCCAACAATTACGTCAGTGAGGTTTGAAGTGGTCCCCTCCCACACAAGAGTGAAAGCAGGGACTCAAACAGTCGTATGCACACCTACGTTCATAACAACACTGTTCACGATAGGTAGAAGGTCCATGAACTGAGAAATAGATAAACAAAACGTGGTATATGCACACAATGGAATACTTTCCACCTCAAATAGGAGGAAATTCTGATACTCAGCATAACATGGATAACCTTGAGGCCATCTTGCTAAGTGAAATAAGCCTGTCATGAAAGGATAAATAATGTGTGATCCTTCTTGAGGTACCTAAGGAGTCAAGTTCACAGACAAAGTATCACGGCAGTTTCTAGGGACTGGGGGAGGGGCAGTGGGGAATTAGTGTTTCAGGAGTATGGAGTTTCAGGTGGGGAAGATGAGGAAGTCCTGGAGATGGATGGTGCTTGTACAGCAGTGTGAATGTACTCATTATGACACATACCTGTACATAGGGCACATTTTATGTACATCTTACCATAATAAAACAAAAAGAGAAAGTAGTGGACCTCCCCACCCCCGAGTCTCCAGTTGAGCCCTCAGATGAGACTGCAGCCCATCGCTTTCGCTACAGTGTCATGAGAAACATGAAGCCGGAGGCATTGGCTTATGCCCACATTACTTTTTTTCTTGGTGTTGGGGATTGAACCCCGGGCCTCATGCATGCCAGGCAAGGTCTTTACCACTGAGCTATATCCCTAGCCTCTTTCTACATTTTAATCCACAGAAACAATAAATACTTGTCATGTTAAGTTGGTCAATTCTGGGGAATTCGTCCTAACATAATACACTACACTGGGAAAACCTGACAGAATTGTGTCCAAAAAATGCTCATTTCTGGATGTGTTGCCAGCTACATGTTCATATGTAATCACATGTGATACACGTTACGAGCAGGACATGATCTCTATAAAACTCATTAAATGGCATGACTACTTTATTACATTTAATCTTTGCATATTCCCTCCTTGGCATGTACCACATTCTCATTTTGCAGATGGAGCAGAGGGAAGTCAAATAATTGTTAAATTGTCAAAGACAGACAGCTAATTAATGAAGGAGCAGGGATTTTAATCCCTATCCATTTGTCTTCAAAGCCCATTTTGTTTCACGATAAGAGAATCACCACCTGACACATAAAGTGACTTTCCCAATCTCACAGGTGTTTGGAGTCAGACTCTTCCCTAGATTAGTGTTTCTCAGGTGTCCCCAGGCCGGCAGCATCACCATCCCTGGAAGCTTATTGGAACTTCAACTTTCAGGCCTCAGCCAGACCTCAGGGACAGAAGCTCTGAGCATAGGCTCCCGGTCTGACTTACCAAGTCCTGCACATTCCAACATATGGTCAAGTTTGAGCATCGCCAATCTGGGGCATAGGTCTACAACTGTTAGTTATGTGTGCTCCATCCAGAGGTTAAGTACTTATTTCCTTATATACCTGTTATGCCATTAATTCAGAGGGAATAGATTCAGGCAGCCCTGGCTTCTTTCCATTGTTCTCAGGAAGCATGCTGTCCTAGGTGGAGCAAGCTGATGCAGCATTAGAATTAACATCCCTTCTCTCTTGCTTCCTTTTTCTGATCATCGTCTTTCATGCATTTTAGGAAGCTTGCTTTACTCTTAGAGTGCTTAATGTGCTCCATATGTGCATTTCATTATCTTGGCAAGATTTTTTTTTTTTTTGGTGCCTGTGGGGTTTGAACTCAGGGTTTCAAGCTTGCTAGGCAGGCATTCTTACCATTTGAGCCTTTCCACCAGCCCTCTTGGCAAGAATCTTGCCCTTAATGTGTTTGTTTACAATGCCAACAGCATGCCAGGTAACAGTGTAGACTCTTCCAACTTTGCCATCATCACTAGAGAGTGTGGGGCACTCTGTTTTGAACAGTACTCATCCCCTTGATGTCTACATGTCACTTTTCTTGTAGAGTCACATGACTGAAGCCAAAGGAACTGCTCTATGTCTTCTAAAAGGCCCAGAAAACATATGACAGGCATCTGTCTTCTTTTTCTACTTAGTCATTTTGGTAATTATTTTGAAATGGCAGTTCTGGCCATAAAGGAACCATGTGGCCATTTAAGCTGAAATATAAATGAATCTGAGTGAAATCCATTTTTAAATTCATGTCTTCAGTTGTACTAGTCACATTTTGAGAACTCAATAGCAACATGTGGTTAGTGGCTATGGTATTGTCTGTGCAAGCATAGAGTATTTCTTTCTTTTCTCTCTTTTTTTTTTTTTTTGGTGACACTGGGCTTTGAACTCAGGGCCTCTCACTTACTAGGTAGGTGCTCTACCACTTGAGCCACAAATGAGGAGTATTTCTATGACTACAGAAGGTTCTACTGGACAGTTCT